AAAAAGTTGATATTTTGGAAATTCACATTGATAAGAGTTCAATAACATTTTATACGTAATAATTTGATTATGTATATTAGTAGAAAATCATGGTCAAAGTACGATCTATGAATAGTGTAAAAATCACAATGTTGCAAGAATTATAGAACAGAGGAAGTCTTAGAATTAAAAGTAATTGTTGAGTAGGGAGTCGGTACGGTATTATACCGGTATACCGCGGTATTTGAAAACATTTACCGTTACCGTACCGAAATAGATCGGTACGGTAGGATACCGTACCGAAAATGACGGTATACCAATATTTCGGTATTTTCCGGTATTTTTCGGTACGGTAAGTGCGGTATACCGATATTTCAGTATTTTTGCCCACCCCTAATATTAACAATCTGTTGGAAGGAATGGAAACAAATGGGTAAAACCTTTCAGCATATTTCTACCCCAAGTACATGCTTGGTTTGTGGGAGTGCTATTTTATTTCCAAATGAAACTATCAAAATGATTGCTAAGTAAAGATGTTTTACTTGCACATATGTCCCAGACCAGACCAGAATAGACCAGACTTAGGTATTTATAAAAATACAAAGAAACCAGATCAGACCAGCAAATTAAAGTCCACGTAAAAACATCAGGCTTACAAGCATAAATGACCAACATGTTATCAAGGCAAATGAAACTAAATTAAATAGAAATTCAATGGTTAATGATTTTATTTGTCCTTGAGCTTTAAGTTTACCCCTTTAACTAAAGTTTGTCATGTAAATTTTATATTTACTAATTTAGCGAGTCCCAGACTGAAATTTATAATATATCGAATTATCTTATAAATTCGATATAATATAATTTTGGTCTGAAACTTCTGGACTGAAACTTCTGGTCTGGTCTAGTCTGATCTGATCTGGTCTAGTCTATTTAAGTCTAGTCATGTCTGATATGGTCATATAAACGTCTGGTCTCTGTGTATTTTATAACGTCCAAGTCTGGTCTAGTCTGTTTAAGTCTGGTCTGATCTTTTCTGTTTAAGTTCGGTCTGATTTGTTCTGATCTAATATGATTTGGTTTGAGACTGAAAATAATTCAAAAGAAAACATCCTCAGATATAGTCTTCTCATTTTGAGAATATCAGAATGATTAAAGATTAAGGGGGTGTTTGGAACTGATTCCGTTTATGCTTCTTTTTTAAAAGCAGAAGCAGAATCAGAATCAGTTTTCAGAAGCTGGTACCTCCCAGCTTCTAAAAAAACTGATTCTGAGAGTAAATTAGAGCTCCAGAAGTGCTTCTGGAATTTCACCCAAACACTCCAGCTTCTGCTCCCTGAAGGAGCAGAATCAGTTTTGAGAATCAGATCCAAACACCCTTGAGGTTTCCTCATTAAAAACATGAATACTTAACATTAGGAGTATTAGTATATCCTTTCAAAAAAGGAATATCAATATATAAAATGAAATAATAGAGATTGAGAGTAGTGGAGAGAACGATGGATAGTGGATTTTAAAGAGTGGGCGGATGAGAGAAGGGAGTAGGGGAACCGGCGATTTAGATCTAAGTTGGAGAGCGCCGCAGGGATGTTCTGCCACAGTCGCCGTTGCATATCAACCATGCTCTCGCCGCCGGGAAGCTTCACTTGGAAATCGAAGACCATGGATTGTGCGATCCAATCACTGGGGTTCATCAATTGGTGCTTGTTATCTCACATCGATGAGGAAAGAGCAGGGAATCAGGGATCGTTGGTGGAAACAACCGCCGGGATTCTCAGGTAGGCTAGTCGAGGGGAATCGAGGACGGTATGGATGCTGATAATTTCTAGGATACTTGTATTTCAGCTGAACCTGGATCTTCTCAAAAACAAAGGACAAGGCAAAAGTACAGGATAAGGGGCCGAAAATTAAAACACCAGGGTTAGAATCCTTCAGCAAAGGAGGAGTTGAGTCACCCTTAAGTGAATCACTATCTGTCAAGAATTCTTTAGAAGTTTCAATAGGGCCAGAACGAAGTCAAATTCAGGAGAGCAGGGCTTTGGATGTTATTCAAATTGAATGCAAAAAACTCAGTTTTGGCATAAAAAACTCTCATTTGCATTTCTGAATTCAAAAATGTAGACATTATCAAATTTTGCTAGGACAGGAAACTCCTTACCGGCTTCGGGACTCGCTGTTGAGAATCAGTGCAGGTAAATATTGGATTCTTGGTGTTTCACTAGATATGAAGCTTCAAAATTCTATAAGATTTGCTATGAGCGGAATAAATTTGGGGGATATTATCGTTTTAATGAGAAAGTGTCTGGGGTGAAAACCTCTGGAGGTAGGTTTGTAACTGTCTTTACAGAATATTTTGGACTCAACAATTGAGGTGTCTTTGAAGAAAAACCCAGTTAATTTGTAGATGACTGATCTTGAGATTAATCCTAGGATTTTGATACCTTTCATAATACTATCTCTATCTCCGAGGAATTATTTCGGGAAGATTTGCGAAGCTACAATGATAATTTTTTGGACTCAGATAGAGGGGCTTTGACTTCACAAGAGATTTTTTCACATGTTGAGGATAAGAATGTGTCTTTACAAAATGAACCCACTTATGAGTCTATTGAGAAATAGAGGGACAAGGTGAGCTTAATCCGACCCAGGGCATTCTTGGTTCAGTATCTTCGGAAGATGAAATAGAAGTTATGTGTTTTTCGACAGGGTTGACGGATCGTGAATTGCTAGACCGCTCAGGTGATCCATCCTGGAATCGATTTAAGATTCCAAGAAGGAGTGCAAGGCTAGCTAGGAACATTTGCAAGGCTTGCTAAGAATATTTGAAGATTTTTTAGCCTTTTCGTTAGCTTTTCTCTCTCATTTGTGATTATCTTTTTAGCGTTTGTACTCTCCTTTTCTTTTTTAATATAATAAATTTCTCTTTTGCAAAAAAAGGATTTTAGGCCCCACCCAACTGCTATATATAGCTATTCCCGACGGCTACATGCCTCACCTGTTGGAAAAAGTGTGTTAAATTGCATTAAATGGTCATTTTGGGGCAATTTTTTGAGCGGGGCCCACTTCCGATTTGGGTCAGGTCAAAGTGGTTTCGGATTGTCCTTGCTTAGGGATACAATTCGATATATGGTACGCTCAAAACGGATAACGGGTGAATGAGAAATCGCTTTTCGAAGTTTACCCGTTGGAATGGAGAAAACTAGGAAAATGTGAGTTTTTGGTATGGTTTTTCCCACACCGAAAATCACAAGGGATTTGCAACCCTTTATAAGGGAAACCCCCCCTAAGGAGTTAAGATTCCTAAAGGGAAAGGCTCTCTGACGCGCGCAGGGGGGGTGCGAATCAAATCCCGAAACCGAAGAACAAAAAGCGTGACTTGCGTGTGCGGGCGACCTGCACACACGAATGCCGTCCGAAAATCTTCTAAAGATAACGTTAATTTTTGTTCTTCCGGTACGTTCCTATTTTATTTTTGCTCCATGCTGAACTGGAACGTTGCAGCATAAATGCCCAACGTCTTTGTACCTTAATGCAGCGGGTTTGGACAGCTTGCTTGGAGAATCAATGCCAGCATGCTGCCATTGAAGTCCCAACGTTCATATGAACGTTTTGGGCTGGAATCAATGCCCAACGTTTAGGACATTGATGTCCAACGTTCACAAGCCTTAAAACAGCCATTAACACACCATAATCCACCCCTATAAAAGGCTAGTAGGTGCTTTGCTAACAACACATGTTCATACACTTCGTGCACATATTTTCAGAGCTAAAAAAACACCTCTAGCATTCCACAAAAACTCTTCTGTGTTCTTGCTTTGTTGACGTTCGTGGGAACTTTCGTTTGAGTGCTCAAACGCTTGTTCGAAGTCATCGTATCCTGGGAAACGATTCTTGCAACGCTCCTAGCACCCCGGGAGGCAACGAATACATTTTAAGGAAATCGTGCGTAGCACGAGCTTTGGCTTATTCTGCTTCATCTCATTTCTTGTTTTCTTTACGTCATTTTATTTAATTAAGTTTTATTAATTAATTTTCTTTGTTTTTCGAAACACACCCAACACCACCCCCTCTTAAAAAAAGACTTTATAGTTGGGATTGGGACCGCCCGGCCTGGTCCCAAATAACGCAAATTGGGATCGGGCACCCCTTTTACTCGGTCGATCAAGTACCCGGTCTTTACTCGAGATTGTAAAAATGGACCCGATCATGTCCCAAATAATGCAAATTGGGACCCGATACCCCTTTAACTTGGTCGAGTACCCAGTCTTGATACGAGACTGTAAAAATGGACCTGATCTGATCCCAAAGAATACCGGACTAGGTTCCAGACCGAGCCAGAGCGCCGGATCGGCTCCATACCTATTGTCGCTTGGTTTTCTGTAGATTTGGGCAAATCTAGCCCCACCTCGATGGGTCCACTGCTAGTTTAAACCACTTTCCTTCATTAACCAGTGGGCCCGACGCCGGAGTCAACCACTTGTAGTGGCGCCAATTTGGTCCTACCGCTGCCGATTTTGTTCCAAAATCACTTTCATATAATTACAATCACTTTTTTACTACAGCGGTTTGATCATTAGAGTCGATTTTTTATTCCTTTTTTACTTGTGACTTCATTTTCTTCGCCTTTGATAATAATTCACATTTCCAAAACGTCTTGGGATTTTTAGTCGTGTTTCTTTTTTTCTGTACATATTACTACAATTTCTTCTCAAAAATACAAGCAATAGTCTTGGCTACGAAAAAAAGGTGAACAAGGATCAAGTGAATGTGTATGTGTGACATAGTTGGTCATATATATTGAATTATTGAATTAATGATGAGTTTTAACTTTTTTTTGAAAGGAAACTAGTTAATTATTATTAGTAAAGTCATGGTCCAAAATTAGGTTTACTTTTGAGAAACTTCGAACAAATTTGTTTGAGTGTCATGAGGATCTTTATGGTATATGAAAGAACTTAAGGAAAACATCAAAATGGTCATTGAATATGGAGACAAAGTACATTACTCGAATCACGAGACCTAAATGGGTATCAAGAAACCATCTACAATTGAGGACGTAATTAATGTTTTAGAATTTTTAGGTACATATATTGCTAGTAAAAGTAGAAATGTTTAATAATAATAAAAAACAATAATATCAATGAAAATAATTTTTATTATTATCTAATAACAATCATGATAACATACACAAAATTTTGGGTCTCCTTCACATACAGGGCGTGGATGAAGGTCGCGGTATGCACTCCGACAAAGATCAAAGCAGCAGGCCTCATCGCAGAGTTTATCGCAAGGTCCGAAACTCCCGACACATTGTTTGGCCTGCAATCCAATTTCTCCATACGACGTCGTATTTAGATCATCGGGAGACACCAAAGCAGGGTTCGTGTCACGTGAAAACGCACCTGCTCATTCACATTACAATAATCATATCTTAATTTGGTACTGAAAGTCTAGTAAACTATTCACATGCATACTATTAAATTAAATTATTGATAGTGGCGTAGGCAAGGTATATAATTAAGAGATACGGAGTAAATATTTATACAAACGTTTATAGAGATATATTAAAAGTACATATTTCTCAATTTGGTGTGAGCCGGATCTTAGTATGGCTCCCCGGGACTATGCGCTTATATTTCATTGAAGTATCTAGTTTATTTGTATTTCATTGTTGAATGTTATATTTTCTCTTATTTTAGGGGGCCTCAAATCACCATTTGAAATCAGTGCCTCCAAAAAACTAAATAATTTTTTAGGAAGACGACGAATATAATGGAGAAGATAAAAACAAATAAGGTAAAGTCAAATATTTTAGTATGCTTGCCTTTATATGTTTTAGTCCATAAATGTGCTTTTGATAAAAGCAAAGAAGATGAAATCAAATATGTTTTGTGTGACTTGTGCCTATGAAAGCAGACGTTAGTAAAAAAACATTAATCACAAATATGATTATTTATTCTCTAAATAAAAAATTAGTTTGAGTGATGAGTCATGACATTGAACAAATAACATCTCAACTATAAAAACCAAAACCAAAAATCTATGTGAAAGTACTTTTGTACACATCATTTACAAAAACCATGTAATAACCTGCATGTATATACAGACATTATACGGACTACGGAGTATTATATAAGGAGTAAAGAAGGATATATAATAGAATTTTTTTGCTACACTTTATAACAAGCTAGAATACATCTATATATTGGCCACACAAAATATAGCCACAAATGTATACAGAAAATGTAGAAAAACTTTTAATCTTATACATAACTCCATATATATTATCTATATATTAGCATTTAAAATCACAAAAAAAAAATGGAACCCTTGAAGAAGAAATTATTACGGAGTATTTTTCTTTACATTTCTCTTGTCCTTTTGTTGGTCTGAGGTACATTGCTAGATGAAAGAAACAGGAGTCCATGATTCATTCGAATAAAGAGCTAGAAAATGTAAAATCAAAGATGAAAAATGTATGAATCTCACCTGTTGCAAGAATAAGAACAATTAGAGAGAGAAATAATGTGGCTGGAGCTAACTTGGCCATTGGTTTTGCACAAATTAAAGAGATTATTATGAGTTATGACTGCTTTAGTGTTTAATCAAGGAAAGACCAACCAAATGCTGGATTTATAAGCGTATGTATCGTACAAATGATATTCATTAATTTACCTAAAAATAATTTAAAAGCACATGCATGCACGAGGCAACGAAAAAATGTTTGGTGTAAATAAATTTCTTTTTTTGTGTGATTATGTTCGAAAATTGTTTTGCTTAAATAAGTTTCTATTTATATAATTCATCTAATGTTTTGGTGCAAACATTGTACTCTATAATAAATTGTGTGTGTAAATGTGATGAAATGTGTAACTTACTAATTAATATGTTTCTAATGATACTTCGTATAAATTTTAATGTTTCGGGTAAAAGTGTGACTTAAGCCTGGTTTGCAAATGCTTCTCAAAAGCACTTTTCGGCTTTTCTTAAAGCAGAAGTGGAAACAAGTGTTTGCAGTAGACTCCATTTCCGTTGCCAAAAGCCAGAAGCCAGAAGCAATTCTTTTGGTAATTTCGTAATTCTTGAGAAGTAGGGGGCATTTATATCGTTCATATTTGTTATATGTCATTAATGCCCTTCTCTTTTTTTCTTCTTTCCTCTATCGTTCGTATAGCCAGCCATAGGTATAAAGAGAGAGGGGGCATTTTAGTACATTCATAAAAACATACCTCAATAATCACTTTTTTACCAAACACTCCAACTTCAACACTTTTTATATAATCACTTTTTTTCCAAACACTATCAGCTTTTACAAATAATCACTTCTCCTCATTTCATTAAAAAAAGCACTTTTTTAAAAGCAGAAACTGTTGCAAACAGACCCTTAATGCACTGTAAATGATAATATGAATGTTGTAATTTGTAAATGCATGTCAACATGTGATTGATTTGAAAATGTAATATTGTTTGTCAGAACAAAATTTAGATGTTATGTTTGTGGTAAATGGCGCTACAAATAACATACACTACATGAGGAAAATGTGTAAATTAAATACGGGTGGGCGTAGCTCAACTGGTAGCGAGGGAGTGCCACAAGGGTTAGGTCTCGGGTTCGGATCCCGGCAACTGCGATGAGGGGTTAATATGCTGAAAAATGCATAGAGCTTCTGCAAGTACCGGGGACAGAGCTCCACTCTCTATCTGTCAGATTGTGATTATATAGTCCATTTTTTTTCTTCCAATCGTGCCGTCCGGTCGGTGTTGGGGGGCCCTCAGGGATGGGGTGTTAGGCTAGGAAAATGTGTAAATGTAATATGCCTATGCATAAATAATGTAATTCTTAGCTTTATACAAATATATATATGCTTGGTGTAATTTAAAAGAAATAGTTACATATTTAGGATTAAAATAAAGATTATCTACAAAAATGTGACTAGTGACTCCAGTATGGAATCACAGTAACCTATGATCAGATTTTAAACTTAAGTTATCTTGATACTAGATTGTAGTAACTATTAGTCATATTTGTGTAAATAAATTTTATTTTAGTAATTTTTTTGAAAAAACCATTTAAATATGGTTATAATTTAAAATAGAAAAATTTCCCTAAATAGGAATTAAAATGTTTGTGCATTCAAAAATAGGACTTTCATGTTTTTATTAGCTAAGTTGAAGTAACTACTACTATGTTTTGACAGTTCGAGACTTTAAACATGATAGTATGTTCCAAGCTTATCACTAATTACTCCTATTTAGGGAATAAAACATAAAAATCCTATTTTGGAATTTTCAAATGTTTTTACTCCTATTTAAAAACAATTCCCTAAAATACATATACGAATTGTTTAAATGTAATTTAATTTTGTTGGTTAACAATAAATTACGGCAAACTTAGTTGGATTGAAAAGGAAGATGACATCATTTTTTTTAATATAAGGCTTAAATGTACACCGTTTTGGGATGGGAGATCCGCCATATCATTGTTGTGTCAATTTAATGGTATAGTTTGTAGTCGTTCTCAACCAATAATTTATTTACTAATCTGATAGAGTTATTATTTAAAATAATACCAATAACATAATTAGATAACCACCAAATATATCTTGCACATAATATAGTACGATAGTACTTACTATTAAAATTTGGAGCAATATAATCTTAAATTGTTATCTGTATATGCAAGCGCACGCTATTTTGATGTTTGAGTTCTCATAATTTGGTTTAATTTGCTGTCGATTTGTAATTAACGTTTTTAAATTTCAACTAATGTCATATTTTTATATGATTACATTTATTAAATAATCACGATTTATTTATATTGTTATTAACTTATTACTCGTATGTTCTCAAGAAACATAAAGTTACTTCCTCCTTCCCGGAAAATACTTCTCGGTTTGACTTGGATCGGAGTTTAAGAAAGTGAGAATAAAGTGGAAACATATGGTTGTGATTGAGTAAGAAAAAGTAAAATGAGTGATAGCCTCACAAACCTTTCTAAAAAGGGAAATGATAAAAAAAATTGGGACGTCCCAAAAAAGTAAGTGAGAAGAATTTTCAGGGACGGATGAAGTATTACTTTATTCTTTTAAATGCAAGTCAAACTTCACAAAATTTTATGGGATGGGTGGAGTCTATTAAAACATAAGATTTCCAACATTTTTTATAATATACTCTGGTATATGATATTTCATTAACTATTTACATAACGTTATTTTGATATTGAGCAAAAACTGTCGCACCTTGCGCGAATAAACGCTAGTAGGTTAGTGTATTGATAGTTGTAAACAGCATACATATCTTTTTAGTGTACAAACCTAGCAATGACTATGAAGATTCAATCAATTAACTTGTTATGAATATGATGAAAATGAACGATGATATCGATGAAATACATGAATGAAAAGCTCTTTAATTAGTTCTCTTGATATGACCCTAACTCCAAAAACGAGCAAAAGCAAGTTCATTATAATCCGATCCAGGATCAAATTTATGTGTGCAACTAGTTATACTATTAACAATTATATTAATTATATTAGACTAAGTTGTTTAGATTATACGAGGTCACGAGGACAATATAGAATAGTTTAGTAAAATTTACGAAGGCATTACTTGACGTTCAAAACTGTGTGTCATATATAATACTCCGTAGCATCCATATAAAAATGATGAGAATATGCATCATTGACACTTTTTAGACACATTGTGCTTGTCTAAGAGCAAATGGATGCAATGCATGTGTATTTTCAGAATAAAAATCAAATAAAAAATGATAAGCTTAAAATTCCCAGTAGACCTAGTCTTCAATATCACCATTCAATATGCAAGCATCATTATGTACACAAAAGGCAAAATTATCCCTCAAGTATGGTTGCCCAGTAGAGATATGTACATGGCCCGTTTCGGTCCGAGAACAGCCGGTCCTAAAAATCAGTAGCCCTGGATGCAAGACCTATATTTCCAATTCATATCATTCGCCAGACACAATATAATCCCAGATTCATAAAAAACTTCCATCAGCTCCCCACCCTTTTCAGCGTTTAAATGGACTCTCACATCTTTTAAGTTAATTCATGATGGTTGTAAAGCGAAAAATAGATTGGGCCAGCTGATCTCGATCCCAAAAAGTGTGGCATTAGACTTTAAAATGTGGCATTAGACCTATTCACATGCACCCGCTGCCCCTGCTCTCGACTGGCCCAGGTCACCAAAACCTTAATTTTGAGTCACGATTAAAAAACCAGTGGTCCTGGCCTGGTCCAATCCGGTCTCAGTATCTTGTCTTCCCCTTTGGAGAAAGAGATCCTTAAACAATATGAAAACCAAATTTAGATTAACCAAAATCCCAAAAAACAAAATGCTCAGCTCAATAAACCATTCCTCATCTACTCCCGAGAATCGACAAAAAGCAGCCACTTTAAAATCGAAGCAAATTGAAGCTCACACTGAAAAATGCTATATTTAACAATAGTTTGAAAAGCAAACAAAATGAAGAAGGTAAATTGATAAGTTTCTGGTCATAATCAGCATGCTTAATGTTGGTACATGAATTGGACAACATGGAAGGCTTGACCGTGGCAATTAGTGACGCATTTATTAGAATTAATGCTATCTGATTAATTCTAGCGGTTTCATATACATTATGAGAGTTATGATTGTAATTCGGGCGTAGGTTACTCAAATGGCTGACCAGAATTTATGATGACATAATGACGATTTTGATGTCGTTGTGACGGTCGGAACATGTCGTCGTAACTCGTAACGGTCGAAACCGTCAACAACGGACAAAAGTGCATTAAATACCTCTCTTATAAATAGAACACAGCTCAATTGTATTCAGGACACTCACTGATCCGAATAACATTCAGATTTTACTCTATTTTGCTTATTTGATATACTTTTTGTTATTCTTGTCATCTTCTTTACCGTTCTTGTACGAAACCCAATCAATATACAATTTTCATTCTAATTGGTTTTAGCTTGTCCAAATTTGGCTAAAACACTTAATATCCTATAAGTTCTATAATAGGAGTATTCAAATAATTGTATTTTTAATATATTTTACAACACTATGATTAAGAGTTATCTCATAATCATCTCTTTATTTTCAATCAGAACTCAAACCTCCAAAACCGAACAATTAAAGTTCTAAAATGAGTCGTTCCTAATGTTTCCGCCGGGCGTGTACATGTCTTTTTTTACACGACACACTTACAACTCTGTATGTTTTTTTCTAAAAAACTGCGAATTATTTATGAACTGTGGGTGTGTACACAATAATTGGGGGGGGGGGGGGGGGGTTCATAAACATGTAAAAACGGATTTTCCATCTAAAATTGGGTCTACACATACTAAAGACATGATTATTTTCATTGAAATGTAAACAACATGTACCGGAAAAAAACTCCGGAAAACCTAAATTCATTTAGAACAAAACAGACCAAAATAATACTCCCTTTGTTCCCTATAATTGTCCCATTTTCCATTTTTGGATGTCACACTATTATTGTCCCATACCATAAGGCTTCTCATTGGATAATATATATTGATGATTCTAGGAAAATTTACTCCTAATGCATAACTAACCACCGAGGGT